ACAATGTAAGTCACGATCGAGTGTGGCGTAGGCGAATAGGCAGACTTCGAAGGCATAGAGAACAATATGGCGATAGGAGTTACAAAAATAGTGAAGTAGAAGATATGAGAGATTAGATGGAGGGAAATAAAAATTGCATAAAAGGTATAGGGATTAGGAATGTACCAATAACTAATTAGGATAGCGACCTAAATAGAAACCCATTAAAAGCCGTGCCTATATTCATTGTTTAGCAGTACAATAGTTAGGCTGCTGGCAGCAGCGAATATTTTATACAATTAAGCTTTAGAGTCCTTCTCCATAAAACAATGATTATAAAAAAGTTAATCTGATTTCCTCCTATCTAAAAATGTGCCATATGAAGGAGGATTCAGAAGAAAACTTGGCAGGCATACTGCCTAACTATTACGAGTTTTTTGCCCGCCAAAACAGACATGACAAAAACGGAAATAAGCAAACTACTTCATTATGTGCAAAGATAGTCGTTACTTAATTTAATTAATTGTTGCTTAGATTACCCATTAAAATAAAGGGGAATAAACTATTTATAGTTTATTCCTTGGCTCACTCGTTAAACATAACCATCTCATCCAATCAGTTTAATAAATACCAATTTCCACAAGTCCGAGCATATTATTACTTCTTGGTGTTTTTTATTTCCAAAGTGATCAGAAGAAAACTATTAAGCGCTTAAATAAATTGAATTATCTAAAACTAAGAAAAGATGAAGACCATTGTCAAGTTAACCATACAGATCGCGGAATGAAGTTCGAAAACCGTATCCTAATCCTAATTAAATTACAGATAATGAAAATATTCAATTTTGCTCAAGATAGTAATTACCATGTATCAGATCGATTAGATTTTCCGCATTCTCAGCCAGTCTGACTCGAGCTTGCCAGCAACGAGTGGTGGCTCGGAGCAGGATGCGCACTACAACAGGAACCAAAAAGTGCCAGATGTCAACTTGCGAAAGCTCATGTGAAGAGGCTGGAGCTTCGGTGACTATGGAGGATCTACAGAGGGAAATGCGATGAGACTTGAGGGCGATGACGAAATCGTGTAGAAGGCGACAGATGAAGTAGAGCCCATCCATGTTGAGCCAGTTAAGAACCAGATGCTGACCTGAAAAACAAAAAAGAGTTTATAAACTTTTGGCGCTAGAAAGGCAAGCTGGTAGAGATTAGATAACTATAAAAATATGAGTAGGTGTTAAATTTGGGTTCATCTTCGGCCAATTAAGACTATAGGACTTACGCCTATCATGGGGATGAATATTGTGCAGTATTGACTCCATAAGCTGACAAAGGATCTTATATTCGTAAGTTAGTAGGGTTTCGAGACTACCAGTAAATCAGTGTAATGAGATGTATTCACCCTAT